CCTCTCACCATGGGATCCGAGAGGTCATGCTGTGGTTGGCGACCTTGGCGATTGTGCGGATCCTGATAGAGCTCGACGGGGGGTAGTGCTTCTCCTCCTTGACGAACCCACTCCTTGGTCATTCCGGCCGTCCCCGCGAACAGCTCTCGAAACAAGAGTTTTGCCTCAGTACCAGCCGGCCGGACTCCTCGGACTTGGGCTCCGGGAGATGGTTCATTGACTCCCCCGCTCCCTGCGTGCACTGTAGCCGCTGCTGCAAGCGTGCTGTGTTGCCGGACCAAATCGGGTAGAAGGGGGTCCTGATCACCAGCTCGTCGAGGAGGTCGGCAAAGTCGGCATGCAATGCGTCCTGGTGCGCTGACCGGCTGATCATGGCGTGCATGCCAGTAGAAGTTGAAACCCAAAACTGGAGTACTCTGCTTTTCCTCGATAGCCAGCCAGGCGTGCTCATTGAAGTCGGGAGGTGGTTGCAGAAGTACCATATGGCCCCGCCAAATCATCGTCCACACCAGCCATCCTCCTTTCTCCCATGCTGGGCCCACTACCGACTCGACCACCAGATTGCCTCCGTAATCGGCCCTGACAACGATGATCTTGGCGTCTGCGAGCTCCGTCACCGGGAAGACCGCGAGGCTTCTGAAGTCGCGTTCATGTGCGGGGTGAAGTAGGTCATGTAGGTAGACCCGGAGCTCATGTTCAATCGGTGTGATGAATTCGGCCGGTTCCCCCATTTGACTCTGGGCTTCCACTGCAAGTCGAGCCTGGTCCAGTCTCATTTCCTGGGCTCTCTTCTCCACCTCCTCCAACGAAGGCCTGCGTCCTTTCTCTCGCCATAAGGAGCCAGCAGCTAACGTTTTCGTGACACATTGGCGTTTCTCCGGAACTGGTTCAGGGATCTGAAGGATGCCCGCCAACTCTTCGGTCATGAGGACCTCCTCCTGGTAGTCCCAACTGCGCCAAGTGGTGCCGTCCAACTCCACACAGCCTTGCCCGGCTTCCCCTCCGACCCACATCGTGTCTCGCACCGTGAGTCTGGCGTTCTCCCCTGCTCGAGTGGTACCCTGCTTGTCCATGAAAGCCGCCGCCTCGTTGGCCAAGTCCGCCACCCCATAGGCCGCCATCTCGCCCATGGGCTCCTCGAACTGGATGTTGGGGTCCTTGGCAACTCGGGCGGAAGCCCATGCATAGAGATCATCCGAGGCCCCTTGAAGCAGACCTAAGACCGGACCCTGCGAGAGCTGCTCGGCCTCCTGAACCATCTTGGCGGCTCCCTCAGGTGGTTGAAAATCCGGAGGTGGCCAGTAACCTCGGTTCTGATGTGGCACTGGAATCCCCCAGCATTGTTTAGTGGGCCGCACGAAGTCCTGCACGTCCTCCTGCTTCGTATAGTCGACGGCTTCAAACTCCTCCGGGATGTCGTTGAACCTCACGCCAGGGTGTCCTCCAGCCTTCGTGTTCTCCGCCTCGTCGTTCTGCTCCTCATGCTCCGCACCTGCCTTTCTCTTCGGCTTTGCCATCTTCGCAGCCTTGTCCTTCTGAGTGGCATGTCGGAGCTGCTGGATCTTTTCCTTGGCACTCTCCTGGCTCTCAGGTTTCATCCTCTTAAGGCCTCCCCGTCGGATCAGCTGCATTTGCACCGCCGGGTCCAGCGCTTCCAGTGTTCCCCTCAAGCCTTCATGAGCTCTCTGGCAGGTCGTAGAGGAGCACCCAGAGTGGGTAAGGTACCCCCAGCATAACAATGTTCCCCCTTTGCTCACGGGTGCCCTGTCACGGGCTCTGTTCACCTCCTCCTGGGTCAGCTTTGGTCCTAACATAGTGGGGTTGGCCTTGCCTCCTCCTCTGCCTTCTTCATTTTCTTTGCCTCCTCCGGCATGCAACCCAGGGCCTTGCTTCCGGTCACCCCCCCCATGTGAGGCGCCACAGTGCCCTTTCTTGTCTCCTCTCAATGCGTGGCTCTAGCTCCACCTTGAACCATCCATTGGGGTTGAGCAGGTCGAAGGTCCTCGGCAGCTCCAGCCAGGCTCTCCCATCAGGTCCTGGCAACAAGGCGTGGAAGCGGATCTCTGACAAAGACATGGATTCACGCTTGGCCGTCTTCTTGAGCTGTCTCAGGAGCTCTTTCATTTCTTCGATGAACCGCCAGTGGAGCTCTTCCCATGCCTCCATCACAATTTGGAGCGGCCACTTGTGAGGTAGTTCCTGATGCCACCCGCTGAGGAGCTCCAGGGCGTGTTGCCGCACTTCCAGCCATTCCATGCCGTAGGTGAGGGCCCAAACCTGGTTTTGCCTGGTCACCCGCGACACCCAGTCGTCGAGTCTGGTCGGAGGGGCTGGCCGCTGCTCGCTTTGTTGCTTTGTGGTCCGAGACTCCGAAGCAAAGGCGTCCAACTCGGCATCGGTGACCTGCACGAAGTCAGCCGCCGACAGCGCGAACTTGTCCGACGTGCCCCAATAGGGGCCCGCCAAGCCGACAGCTAACCTGGCTGAGATTTTTTTGCGAAATCCTAGGGCTCGGAGCTTGGTGGAGGCCCCTACCTGGGCAGAAAGCAAAGCGTTTGCAAGGGCTGATCCGACATCACCTGGGCATACTTTCACATCATACTGATCGCATGCCCGCATCAGATAGACCAGTTCTTCGGACATCTTGCTGAGCCCCTTTATGGAGCCCTGGGGATGGATGCCTCCTTCTTGTTGATTCCTGACCAACGATGCGATTTCCGACGTTTGGTTTTGGATCGCCTGGGTCAGCTTTGCCATCGGGTCATAGGTCTCCTCCCGTGCCCCAGCCTTCCTGTCGGACTCCCGGCCGTAGATCCTAGGCGGAGAGATCATCAGGTTGCCGACCCCCTCCTTTGCCACCACTTCCGGGCTCGAGGCTTGTGAGGTTTGAGAATTGGCGCTGTTCACACTCGAGACCACCGTCCAGCTGTTAGGTGGTGTCAGAGTCGGAGTGGGAAAGTGGGGAAGGTCAGGCTCATGCGCCTCCGGCTTCCACAAAGTCAGGAACTTTGACAAACCCTTCTGGCCCTTCCTTTGCTCTTCCCAGGCAAGGCTGTGAAGAGTCCTTGCCACCTCCGCTCAGGTCAGGTTGTGACGTGACCCCAACAGATCTCGTGCTCCACTTTCAGATAGACCTGTAGCCTTGCCGCCTGAGTAGATCTCAAAGAACTCCTCCAAAAGCGACGGCCCCGCTGCATCCTCTGGTGGTGAGTCAAGCAAGCCCAGACGAGCCAAGTTGCGGTGGATCGAGGACTTTGGCGTGTGGCCTGGCGACCTCGATGTCAAACGTGTCCTCTTGGGCTCCTGGTCGTCGTACACAGGTTCCGGTTCGGCCCCTTTCATCTCTCTGAGCAGTGCCCTGGCCTGGTCTCCCGGCTTTTCATCCCTGCCCCGCCCCCGTTCTTCCGTGGAAGCCCCTTTTGGGATCACCTCAAACTCGTCCTCTGCCCGCCGAGAAGTGCTCCTCCGCCTCGATGATGTAGTTCTCCGACGTAGTCCAGTATCGACGTCCTCCATGCGGTCGTCCATGATCTCCGCATCGTCTTCCTCCCCATCCCGCAACCTGACTGGTTCCCGAGACCGAGAACGAGAGGACCGCCGAGGGCGAAGAGCTTCCTCATGGTGCCAGCAAAGCCGTAGACCCTGGACGCCCACGTAGCCAAACCGACAGCACTCTGAGTGGCTACACTTCTTCGACATTCGCTTGAGGATATACTGAGAGGAATGGCTGCCGCACAAAGGGATCGTCTCCTGGGCTCCCAGCTGGTCTTCCTTTAGCAGCTGCGTCCGGTCCTTCGCCATGCCCTTGCAGACGTTGTCGGACAGTCGTTCGTCCCCATGTTCGGTGCTCCAAAACAGCCTGTGAGCCTGGCAAGCCTCCTCCTCACATTCGGACTCTGGCAACCAACATCTTTGAACCTCCCCAGGCCCAACTCCAGAAACGGGCACCCCATGCCCGTGCTTCCGTGTTGGCCTTCCGCAGGTTGAAGTCCTCAAAGTCCACCTTCTTGGTCAGGCCGTAGATCTTGAAGTGATGTCCAGGTTCTGAACACTCCTCATTCCGGCACAGGTGCACCTTATCGACTCCCAAGAGCTCCTGTAGCAACGAAGGTGATCCTCTCAACGTGTCCACCTCCATCCCCACATAGACCCCGCTGGAGCGAATGGGTGCGACCTCCGATGAAACCTTGAACACGGCCGTGGCGCTCTCCCGCTTGATGACCACCCACTTCTCTTGGCTGCCATGGAACTTGAACTTCCGGAGCTCCGAAGTCTCCGGCACCTGCCCGGTGCCTGGACCGTAGTAGTCCGCCGAGGCCTCCTCCGGGGTGCCCCCAAGCCACTTCTGGGTGTAGAAGATCACCGTGCCAAGAAGTCGAAGCACTCGTCGGGCTAGCCAAATGAAAGTCATCACTACGGCGCAGATGAGCGACACCACTGGCCAGCAGACCGCCCAAATGTAGTGGGCTACAACGCAGCAGCCGAGGAGGATGCACCCTTGGAAGAACCTCTTGCAGCCTGTGCGGACCCCCGCCCATGCACTTCCGAAGAAGGTCCAACCTAAAAAGCTGACAAGAGTGTCGGCTAGGGTCCACAGTCCCCAGTCAAAACCATGGCGGTGGGTCTCGGTAGCCCACCAAGTAGCGTGCTCAGTTCCTTGGGTCATAGTGTCCACCCAGGGTACCGCACTCGGGAAACGCTCCTCCAGGTGGATGCGCCACCAAGGTCGTGGTGGGTCCGATGGTGGGACAGTGGAAGTATTCCACCATCCATGGCCGCCCACCAACGAGGCAGCGACCACCACCAGCCTAGCCACCATGGCCAACGGCCCACCCATACCCTGAAAAGGTCAGCTCGCTGACACTTGGTCCCAAAGGAAAACCCGGTTTGGTTTCCTGTCATGCTCAAAAGCGACGCTTCCCGAAGCTACTATTAGTAGCTGAAACTTGTCTCAAGACACCATAATGGATGAAGGCGTAGCTCTTTTCTTTCCAAGGAACGTCTTCAAAGTCACATCCGACAATCTGCCATTGGTGTCGAAGTTCAGGCTGAGCTCTTTCAAACTGCTCGGGAAGCCTCAGGAAGAGAGGAAAAAAAGGCGACATGGTGAAATGTGGCTGAAATGCGCATGAAAAGCATTTGACATGGAACCACATTAGGTCAACCTAAAGTTACACAGATCTAGTTGGACCTAGTAGCATTGAAAACAGATCCTAGATCCACAACAATGGACTTTGCAACTTCCTTGCAGCTGGCTTCCAAAGGATCAATGCATCCAGGATGCCACCTATCAGGGCACCTGAGAAGCCAAAAAATGAAATGGAGCTGATCGTGGTGAGCTGAGCCTAACTGCTCCAGTAGCGTTCAAACGATGAGCCTGCAAAAAAGCAGTTTGAAACGCTGCGAGTGACAGAATCCTGCATCAGTAAAGGAGTCATTGTCCTTGAAGTTGATGACTGCCTCGCTTGCTTGAAAGCCGTGCCAACCAGTGGGGCTAGTTAGTTGCAATCCAGATTGAGCCGATGTTTCTCCATTGACACCAGCAAAACGACTCAACTGGCAATGGATAGATTTCTCCAGGATGCTTTCGACAAGCTTGGAGGCATAGCTTTGGCCAGCATCTCCAAGGCCTTCCGGACTTAAGACTGAGACTTCCACCTTTGGGTAAGTAACAAAAAGCTATTAGTAACAAGTGCCACGCTAGTAGTAACAAGTGCCTTACTAGTAGTAACAAAAGTAGTAACAAGTAGGCAAAAAACTGTGACCGAATGTTTGAGTTCATCCTTTGAGAGGTTGGAGGTGTCAAACAACACCGGTTTGATGGAGTTGTTCATACAAAAGCCTTAACACAATTGGAGTATACTCCGATGTTTTGTGAGCCTCAAAAACGAGAATCACGCCTGGTCTGGTTGAATGTAGGAAGACATCTCCTACTGGACCGCTCAAATACCCCCATCTTAGTGGGCTACTCTGGAAAACACCTTATTTTTCCCGGAACTTTGACCCCTCAAAGAACTCTAAAGAACTAGTGGAAGGGGCTACACTTGCTCTCCCCCTGGCCCAGTTTTCCCAACAGTCACTCCTCGTCCCCAAGCTCATCGTTGCGCAGGGTGAGGTCCAAGGAGCTCAAGCCCTGGTGGATCAGTGCCCGATCTTTCCAACATGGGCGCTGATGGATCCATTGAATGCCATTGGCATGTTGCTATATATAGTAACCAAAAGTGGACCAAGAAAACACGGATTCCCCTAAGAGCAGGACATCATAAAGAGTCTGCTGGCGTGGTCTTTCTAAAACTGCTGTGTCCAGAAAACACCCGGCTCAGCAGTGTCGTCCTTGGGAAATCCCACCACCAACTTGCCAAAGCCCTCTTTGGAGATGTGGCACTCCGTCCACCTAGGTGGACATGTGGGTCTGTCACAGCGGCATCCTAATTTTTCTCTAAGCGAGATCGATGGCTCAAACGACAATACGAAAGTAAGGTCATATGATATGGGCTTCGGCTTAGGTCTTTCAATGAACAATCATCTAAGCATGTACTCGACGCCCACTCTGAGAATGGTCATGAATGGTCCAGTGCACCCCTTGTGAGCGTGTTGCCAATCCTTTAGGCAAGCAGCGAGAACTCAAACGCTAAGGCTAAGTGTTTCAAGGTCGCAGGAAGACCTCGGGCATTTGACTGCCAGTAGGTTGGAGGCCAGCGCTATTAGGCTGGAGGCCTTTGCTAGCAAGCTAAGGCTAAGTGTTTCGGGCATTTGACTGCCGAACTCTTCAAGTCAAACATGGTGCCACATCGTTGACTCAAAGAAAGCCCGTTGGAACAATCGACGAGGTCCAGCGAAAAGATGCAACACAAGTGCTACGTCCAGTTTTGACATGGGTCCTGGTGATGGATCAAAACCCTGCATCCCTCTTGACCCAGAATTACACACTCCAAAAGAATTGACCACCCCAAATAGGAGGACATATGGTGTGTGGTCAAAAAGGATTGCAGTAATGTCTTGCAAACAAGGAAAGCCCCCGCAACGAAGCCCTCCTAGATTCCTACATGTCCACTCAAATGACAGAGTAATGTCACAAAAAGCATAAAGAAAAGAATCAGTATTCCCAGGATCCCCTGGAGTTGAAGGATCCCTCTTCGATCTGTGTTGACATCTATTCCTTGGCTGAGGCACCGCTTCCAATGAGAGCTAAGCCTCTGTCGGTGAATTGGTCGGGGCACACGAAGCTGAGGCCTAGCTTCTCAAGGCCTGAAAGCATTCAATCGGGGCCCGACGGCAGTCTCACTCCAACGGCTGAGTTCAGAAAGGTGAGTAACTGTGAGAACAGGGTGGAGGCCATCGCAAGTAGGTTGGAGGCCATCGCTACTAGTAGCAAATAGCTACTAGTAACATCTAGTAACTAATTGATAAAACAGCTACCCACATCTCGAACGGGCACGACACGACTGACGTCGACGTCCGGCTAGGTCCTGGTGGCAAGCTGGAGGCAAACTTCTCCAGTTCCGCATCCGTGCGCCACTCCTCGCGGAAACGCAAAGCTGGCGTCGACCGGCCGCTTTGCGCATCAACTTCTAATCCACTGAAGGCCAGACTCATCGACTTATCGGGATCCAAAGATGTCTGTCTGCCAGTCTATCTGTCTCGCAGTCCGTCTATCTGGTATCGGTAAATCCGCCGACCACCGTGGGGTGAGGCGTGACTGTCGATGTTAGCCTTAGCCTTAAGCCTTAGCCTTAGCCTTAGACCTTAGACCTAGTCCTTAGCCTTAGACCTAGACCTAGACCTTACCTCCCCTACCCCTCCGGACCCTTGTTGCAGTGACGAAATCCTGCCGGGAAAGCGACCTGGATTGTCCAAGAATCTGCCATCCCAATTGATTTACATCTTGGGGCACCCTCTCGACCCGCGCGGGAAAATAAGCACGGTCCAAAATGGTCCTGGGCTCGAATCCCGGGCTGGTCGCGGCATGGTCCCGGCCAATGCCCTTGCTTTTTCGTAGATTTTGTCACGTTTTCTGTTGGTTTATGAGATTTTCAAAGGCTTTTCTGGCATTTTCCTAGGAATGCTCTAGGCTTTGTCTTTTTGGGTACCTGCTTTGGTGGTGCTGGGTTGGGTCTAAATTGGTAAACCTGGGAGGTACCCAAAAAGTCGACTTTTTGGGTACCTGCTTTGGTGGTGAAGGGTTGGGTCTAAATTCTTGGGCAATGATCGGGGTTCATGCAAGAGCTGACGTCCGATGGTAAATCTGGGAGGTACCCAAAAAGTCGACTTTTTGGGTACCTGCTTTGGTGATGCTGGGTTGGGTCTGCACTCTTAAGGCTAAGGCTAGGGCTTAAGGCTAAGGCTAACATAGAGCAAGGCTAGCGCTAAGGTTCTATCCCTTGGGGGTCGGCGGCTGCAGGCGGTAGCCTGGTAAATACTATCTCTGTATCTGGTATCTAGTCTCAGATAGAAAACAAACTCCTGGTTAAACTCGCTTGCCGGCTTTGGTGTTCATTGCGCTGTGCTGAGATCTGTGACCCCTAGAAGTCCAAAGAGTACATTTTGCTTCACCAAAAGTAAACGAAATTCCTTTTGAGGTCACCTAGTCACACGTGATTGAAAAGTGTCGGGAAGATCGAAATCGATGTCAACTGTCAACCTCTCCTCGATGTGATCCTCAAAGGTTCGGAACATCCAACTGATGAAGTAGCTCAAAGGCACCTGCAAGATGTGATCAAGGTCAATGCATACAGCGGACTCAGCGGACCCTGGTTGATTGAATGAATCAATCTGCCAGGGTTTAAGGTTCATCTGATTCCTGTATATCAAAGCAAAGACGCTCTGTGCTAGCTGGCCTTCAAAAAAAGCCCCTTTTTCTGCAAGGCTAGCTTGTGGTCGCTTCCTGGCGAGGTGTTGTTAAACACGAGACCGGCCACAAAGCACTGTCTTTGAGTGCTTGTGACTGGCTGGAATTCTATTCTATTTCATGCCCAAAGCAGCACTGTAGGCCTCTGGTGTCAGAAACACCACAGTGTTGGGATAGTCCGGATCTGTGGATCGAACCTCTCTTCCGTGACCACTTTGGCCAGAACCACTCGTCCCCTTTGGCCTCGATCGGCAGTCATCAAAATCATAGCACTTCTGAACTGCTTCGCTGCCATTGGAGCCTCGGAAGTCCTTGCTGGCGTTCTGGTTCACGCAGTAGTGTTCTGGCCCAACCGATGCTCCATACAGCTCACGCCACAGGGAGCGATGTGTCAGGCACTTCTCGTTTGGGACCGCCCAATATCCCTCCGTGCGATGCTTGTGACCAGAGCTGTAAAAAGAGACCACAGAAGTCGGTTTGCCAAAGAAGTCATTCAGCCGCGGAGCTGACGGGCACACATCCAACCCAGTAGCTCTAGTGTCAGTTTCGCAGAAAAAAGCATGGGGATCGTCTCGAAGCCAGGACAAAATACCCATCTTGAGCCCAAAGGTCTTTGACACCTGGACAAATAAAGCAAATTATATAAGTGACCAAGTCAATCAAGTCCCTTTCAACAATATTCAACAATAATATATAATTGTTGTGTGTGAAGCAAGCACTATGGTAGGGAACCAATCAATGGGCATCGCCATGCGGCTTTCCACCTTTCAAAGCTCCTCCTACTTGGCCGTCTGTGGTATTTGGAAACACTTCTTTGGATGATTGAACCCCTGAATTGGCTGCGGCAAAAACCCTAGTCAATAACCTCAAGAGTCGACACGCCCAGACTCTTGCAAGACACAATCTCTACAAATCATCTAACCGGTGAAAGACCC